TCAATGTTAGTTTATGTGCTAATAGAAAAACACTGAATGAAAGGAATGTAGACTAAGCTAGGGATAACGATAAACAAAGGCAATACATGATATTGACTTGTAATATTTGTAAAATCGATGTAGAAGTGTGTGCTGGTTCCAATAAATGTCCATTGGCATCTTATCCTAATAAATACCTATATTCCATCTTCACTACAGGCGGTAAGGTTGAGGATTTGAAAGCCACAGTTCGGAAATGGAAAACCAAGGTGGATAGTCATTTATTCTGAAATCAGTTTGGAAATCTTCTACACTCAGCTAGCATAAAGAGTAAGATTCCGATTTTCAGCATTACTGTCAAATCAGTCAGTGCTTCTGTCTGTTAGAGAGAGGTGTACCTGAGAAATTTGTTAACATCTTGAAAGCCCTATACAGAAACACCTCAGGTAGAGTGAGGGCATACAACCAACTATCACCACTGTTCCCAACCAACAGTGGGGTTAGACAGGGTTGCCCAATCTCACCATTTCTCTTTAACTTTGCCATCGATGACATTCTGGAGTCAGCTCTGAAGGATGTGCGTGAAGGTGGTGTAGATCTGCTACCTGGAGATAGACTTTTCGACCTCGAGTATGCAGACGATATCGTCTTACTGTGCGATAGCATGCAGGCTGCCCAAATCGCACTCAATCAGTTGGCGATCAGTGTCTGTAAGTATGGTATGTGCTTTGCGCCGTCTAAGTGCAAAGTACTGTTACAAGATTGGCAGGAGCCTGTACCTGCACTCACTCTTGCGGGTGAACCGCTTGAAGTTGTCGATAAGTTTGTGTACCTAGGTAGTTGTGTGAGTGCTGGCGGAGGGGTGACGGATGAGATTTCCAACCGTATAATGAAAGCTAGGGTGGCATACATCAACTTGAACCACCTCTGGCGCCGTCGCGACGTTAGCCTGGCTGTCAAAGGTCGGGTATACAATGCTTCGGTGCGGGCTGCGCTGCTCTACGCCTGTGAAACCTGGCCTCTCCGAGCTGAGGATGTGAGGCGACTCTGCGTGTTCGATCACCGCTGTCTCCGCAGGATTGCTTGCGTTCGATGGCATCATCGCGTGAGTAATTCTGAGGTTCGGCGGCGTGTGTTTGAACACAGTGGAGATCACCATTCATTGAATGTCGTCATCTGGAAACACCGGCTCCGGTGGCTTGGACATGTGCTGCGAATGTCACCCCAGAGGCTTCCGTACAGGTCTCTGTTCGCCAGCCCTGGGACGGGATGGAAAAGGTGGAGAGGTGGTCAGCCCATGACGTGGCGTCGTGGGATGAAGGATTTCTGTGCTAGATTAGCATCGGTTGGTGTGTCACGACTCCCTGGTTGGGGTCTGAGAGATAGCTCAAATCGATGGCTCGAAACGTTATCGGATATGGCCAAGAATCGTAATCAATGGCGAATGTGTTGCGATTTCCTTCTTTCTTCCCTTCCTGATGATAGTTAACGAACACTGTTTGAACCTGTTAAGAATGAGTGTTTTCCTTCCAGATGAAGTTCATTATTCGTTCTCTACTTATATATATTTTTCTTTTCCTGTCTTCCTTTTTTTCATCTATGTTGTTTTATTATTATTGTGTGGCGCATCCTTCTTGGTGCCATATTGTACCAAGTTTTAATGCGTTTAAATATATATATATATATATATATATATATATATATATATATATAGAGAGAGAGAGAGAGAGAGAGAGCAAAGACTGAGCTCGTCATGAAAACAATTTCCAACAGGCCATCGGTGAGTTTCATCAACACTTGTCTTCACTGGCTCCACAAATACACGCACACTGAAGATCAGACGATGGGTCAGAAAAAATAAAAAAGAAGAAAATATGGTGGTTGGAGGCTATCGTCCAATAAGTACGCCGAAGGAAGCTGAGGTTGATTCGCCTCCAAAACCTCAGGATTGTCGGGGATGGGTGCCTTGCGCTGTGGGTTGGCCACCCCTCCGCACACCTCTTCAAATGCTCCCATATGTCCGGGCGTCTTACATAGCCTCTCCTGAGGAAGTCCTACTCACTGCTTTCACGTGGCGGAGGTGTTTTTCACCGAAGTGAGAGGGCGAAAGCGGATGCCCGGTGCTCTTCACCGGGTTGACTGTCCATTGGATGACAGTCTAGGCGAGATGGCTAAACCCTGATTCCAAACCTCCAACGACTGGCGTATGAAGCTCACTGGAGCTCACCGGCAGACGTATGGACAAAGGGCTTGTTGGATGTCCTGGATGTCTGGCCCCATTCAAAAAGGCGTATGAACCGAACTCCGGTCACCGGCTGCCAATGGATATTGGACTCCCTACTCCACTCCTACTGCCTTATAGGTCACACTTGGTTGTGTAAAGGCTAGAGCTGCACTCTCAAACAAAAAGCCGAGCGATTCTGGGGACGTCACTCGTACCAAATTCCCATGAAACTTCATGAACTCTCTTACAAACGATTCGAGATGTTCATGAAGCCGGCTCATCCTCCCGTAGGAGATAGCCGAAGTAAAGTAAGGTAAGTATTGACTGGACATCAACGCTGAGAAGACCGTTGAGTGACATCACACATACTACAGTCTGGTAGTTGAGTGGAACCGCAATTGAGAAACGATGATATGGGCGTGGAGAAGGAGGAGAAAATGGAAACATACGGGCAATCATAGAGTCAGCTGAAGGTGACTGCAGAGATCAATTTAATGTAGATGTGTTGCTGAATACACCCTGTCCCAATTGTAATCCATCCAATGAATGAAAAGAAGATAATAAGTATGGTGACATAATATCAGTGCTACCCACAATTTAACAAAGCAATATCATTATGTTTATATTGTAGCGAATATTACAGTGTTTCCCAATTTGAGTTTTTATAGAAATTGATTATTCACGATTAATTGTTGGTTTCACCAGTCCTGAGATTCAATGGAATGCGAATCCACATCCATTGCCCTCCACATATAGCAGCAGTCAGCCATTACTATAATAACTACATATGTGAATAATTGAGGACATGTATAGAAAGCTTTTAAGCTGACTGACTGACTGGTTTCAATATAGAACTTTGCACAGATGTGCAGTAGTTCGAGTTATCACGCTCTCTCCATGTACCAAACAAAACAAGAGAGGAGAGTAAAGAGAGATTCGAAAGATAGAGAGATAATAAACAAAAGTTTTAGAGAGGCAAAAAGAATAGTAATATGGTAGAACAATAGAATTTTATTGGATATTGTAAATTACAAAGAGTGAATGCATCTGCACCAGCCATCACAGAGAACGATCACTTTCAGCTATACAACCGCCAATTGTCCCCAGCTGTCATCGGCTTTTACTGTCCCGAGGACCCCGACCAATCAGGATGTCTACACCTTCCTATGTGACTAGCTGGCTTAAACTAACTGTTGTGGATTTCATTGACTGATGAAGCCATGTTTCGGTTTAACCACCACTAGCTTTCTCTTTTCCAACCTAATCCATCCTATGTCAGCTAACATTGCCCATTGTCGAGGAAGGCGATGGATGGCTAGACATGTGTAACACATGGCCTAACCATCTTAGTCATTGTAACTTCACAACCTCGTCATCAATTGATTACCCCCCCCCCACCTACCTAGCACACTCGACCGATGCCTAACCTCAATACTGCTCACCTTATTATATCGCTTAATACGGGACATAGAACGCAGATACCTATGATCAAAGACAGTTAGCTAACCTTTTCATGTCTACCTTTTAACTAGAAGTATTCTAATATTCTAATTGATGAAAGATGTCTCCCTCAACATATAGATTTCAGAAGACTGTTTAATGGAAGCAGGGGTAGTCATGTAGATAACTTCTTCGTCAGCTTCCACGGCTATAATATCCAAAACAGATGAGGTGAAGGCGTTATTTACATCATTATTGTTTGTTAAATAACATCTAATCATTAAGGTCAGCTACCGAACATGTCTGTGTGATATAAAATACACAAATACAACGTTAAATTGAATGCCAAGATAAATAGAAGAGAATTAGTGTTAGTGGGCAATGTTAGCTGACACAGGATGGATCAGGTTGGACAAGAGAAAGCTAGTGGTGGTCAAACCAAAACATGGTTTCATCAGTCAATGAGATCCACAACAGTTGGTTTAAACCAGCCAGTCAGTTAAGCAGGGAGGTGTAGATTTCCTGATTAGTTGGGGTCCTTGTGACAGTAAAAACCAATGACGGCTGGAGACAATTTTTGGTGCTATGGCTCAAAGTGATCGTTGTCGTTGGCTGGCGCCCGTGCATTCACTCCTTGTGATTTACAACATCCAATAAAACTCTGTTGTTCTTCCGTATTACTATTCTTTTTGCCTCACTCACATTTGTGTTTATTATCTCTCTTTATTTTGAATCTCTCTTTACTCTCCTCTTTTGTTTTGTTTGGTACATGGAGAGAGCGTGGCAACTGGAACTACTGCACATCTGTGCAAAACTCTATGATGAAACCCGACAGATAGCTGATACTACCTCGATGTGGTGATCAGGCTTGCCGAATATTGAAATGACCCAAAGAGCTACACTATTTGTTTGAAATTGATTTTCCTCTGCAGGTCCTACCATACCAGAAAAACCGTTCGAGTAACGATTAAACTAAAAGCAGTTTTCATTATACTACAAGTCTTTCGTACAATTTTAGAGGTCTATGTGCTATGTTGTACAACTGGTGATGAATAATAGTAAGGTGACAACCTCCAGCTGCTGCCTCACAGCTCTTGAGAGAGACAAATAGGGTTAAGAAAATGTCAACCGGGAAAATTGCACAATCCCGACTTTTCACTTTGCGGTGGCGGTAAGATCTTAATTAATAAATACGATCAGGTCACAACTGCACAAAACCTCTTCATCACACAGGCCGTGTGTGTGCATGTGTGTGACTGAGGTCTCAAGCAGCTGTTCCCCCCCCCCATGGGCGCGCCATGGGAATGACGCGTAGAACTTAGAAATCGACTAAATATGTTGTTATTCACACACTTACCTTGCTTGCATCATATCGCCTGATGTAGCTGCAGCACCAGCATCAACTCTTAGATTGACAGGTGATGCAGAATTTGATGACGCTAAAATATTCATTTGTACAGGCATCGGTGATAAGGATGGATGAAGTGTCCATTGATTTAGGACAGAATTACCACCATCATTTGATTGTGAATCACTACTACTACCGAATGATTGGCCTGGCTGGTGGTGACTAGCATTACTATTAGGATCCATTTCATTATAGGTAGAGCGTACAGCTGCCGCCTTTTTAATAAACTCTTTCATTTGTTGTAAGAAAATGATATTGTAGAATTGAGACAGATCACCACGTTCTTCTGTACTACCACGACCATATGATACTCGATTTATGAGTACTCGACGGTAGACATCTCGAAAGGATTGAGGTTGTAATCTATAAACCTATTGAGAATAGAGTAGAGCGAAAAGAAAAAAAGAATGCGAAATTTGTTTCACATGATACTACTCATGTTTTAGTTAGTAGTAATATAAGTTATACACTAATTTTTTGCTTGCCAAATAAATCAAAGTTGAAAAAAACTATAAACAGGCATTATTTTTAATACTTATTGTACCTATATCTATTATCATTATTGTTGTTCCCTCGGGTTCCGAGTGGAGCATACCTACAATTTCTTCTTTTTTTCTACTTGACCTCTTCACCTAGGTTCAAGCTTGCCCATATTCTGTCATCTCCTCTTCCTCACCAAAACGATCTTCTCCATGTTGCCCACTCGTCATTTCGCATCCGGATTCCACGCGACGTCATTCGATAGCCTCCTCAACGAGTACCCGATCAGTCCATCACAATTTTCTCCTACATATTTGTTGAGTAATCGGTTCTCGCCTGTTGGTTTGTTCACAGCCAGAGTTTCTTCTTGCTAATTCTTCCTAGCCAGCCGGCCAGCCATTTGATCTCCAGTATGTGGAGCCAGAGAAGGCAGCTGGTGATCAAAGTCTGCAGTGTAAGTTTCTGACCCGCATAGAAAAACTGACTGACTTCACATTCGTGCCACAGAGTGCAGAAGATTTCCAAACTGGTTACAGGTTGATGAAGGCGTATCTTGCCTTTCCGATTCTGGCTGGCTGGCTTTGGCATTTTCATCCCTTCCGGCTGCCTGTAGTTGAGACGATGCTTCCTAGATAAGTGAAGGCAAGAAGTAACCTCTGTCAAATCTCTCCCGTTGATGGTGATTGGTGCTGGTTGTTGTTACTGTTGATTGGTTGGTTGGTTATCTTCATCACCTCCATCTTCACCTGGAGTCTTGTCTTCGCCGCTTCTTCAGACAGTTTGTTGGTGGGTATACTGGCTTAATAAGCAAGCACTCGATGACGACTTTCAGTCACACAGTAGTGGGTCCAGAGATTCGAATCCCTCTCCATCTATTTTTCAGCCTTAAGCAACTGAGTTGTATCAACAGTCCTCACACACACGACAAGTGTGACTCATAGCTTGTGACATCACTATAAATTAATGAAAAAATGGAGCAAAGGAAACACTGGGCTGAACACTTCAAAAGACTCCTAAATCCACCACCACCTACAACACGCCCAGTAATACCAACAATGGAGACAGAGCTACCAGTGAACACCAACCCCCCGACGAAATCAGAAGTCCTGAAGGCAATCAAGATGCTAAAAGCTGAAAAAGCAGCAGGACCAGATGGAATCCCAACAGAAGCACTGAAAACGGACCCAGAGACAACAGCGGACTTGATGACACCACTACTGGAAAAGATGTGGAAAGAAGGCAAAGTACCTGAGGATTGGAAGAAAGGATACTTATTCAAACTACCAAAGAAAGGAGACCTAAGTCAATGCAAGAACTGGCACGGAATTATGCCATGTCCATCCCAAGCAAAATACTAAGCCGCATCATCCTGGAGAGAATCAAACATGCCCTGGATGAAAAACTTCGACCGGAACAGGCTGGATTCAGGAGAAACAAGTCATGCATTGATCAGATCGCCACATTACGGATCATCATTGAACAAAGCCTGGAATGGCAGTCACCTCTCTATCTCAACTTCATCGACTTTGAAAAGGCCTTTTGACAACGTCGATCGAGAGGTGATTTGGAAACTACTTCGCTACTACGGGGTGCCACAGACAATTATACATCTCATCCAACAGCTATGCGACAATGCTGCATGCCAAGTAATCCACAACGGGAAACTTACAGAATCCTTTGAAGTGAGGACAGGAGTAAGACAAGTTGGCTGCCTACTATCGCCAATGATTTTCCTGATTTCAGTAGATTGGATAATGCGACAGACAGCGGGCAATGAGGAAACAGGCATAAAATGGACCCACACAAAAAACTTGGAGGATTTGGATTTCGCCGATGATATATGTCTGATTTCCCACAAACTGGAAGACATGCAAGCGAAAAGGAACAAGTTAGCAGAAGAAGCATCCAGAGAAGATAGGACTTCAGGTGAACATAGATAAAACAGAGGTGATGAAAATTCCTGGCCAACACCAACAACAGCAACAACAACTGACAACAATCAGCATAAATTGGAGGAACCTGAAAGAAACAACCTCCTTTACCTACTTGGGAAGCACCGTTTCAACTACAGGCCGACGGAACTGACGAGGATATCAAAACAAGAATCGGAAAAGCAAGACAAGCTTTCACTACTCATGTCAAGTCTGTGTGGAGGTCAACAGCACTCAGCATCAAAAATAAAATCCGAATTTTCAACTCCAATGTGGTCAGTCAGTGCTACTATACGGATCAGAGACTTGCACTGCGCGTCATAAAGAGCACCTCAACAAACTACAGACCTTCATAAACAGCTGCTTTCGCTCAATACTCAAGATCAGATAGCCAGAAAGGATCAGCAATAGGGACCTCTGGGAGCAAACCGATCGTGAAACAAATAGGCAGGAAGAAATGGAGATGGATTGGCCATACTCTGAGGAAACCATCAAGTGACATCACTAGACAAGCTATTGCTCGAGTGGAACCCGAAATGGAAGCGGCGAGTTGGTCGTCAGTGCAAGGGTGACTTGGAGGAGGTCATGTGAAGAGGAGATGAAAACGTGTGGGCAGACATGGAGCCAGGTGAAGACTCTAGCAGAGAACCGAACGCAATGGAGACGCACGGCTGAAGCCTTATGTTCCTGTAAGAATTAAAGGATACAATAATAATAATAATAATAATGAAAAATAATTTTTTTTTAAACAATACTTACATGAACTATATCAACAAATGTCAATGGTCGATAAAGCACAATCTTGCATATCCCATATAAACAACACATTATAATCTGATCTAAACATCGATCTCTGAGTAGTTCAGTTTCATGAACTATGACTTGTTCTACACAAGTCCAAATTTTTGCCATAAGTTCACGTGTAAGATTTAAACGTTCGCATAGATCTCTTAAGCGTAAACTAGCTATCTGATATAATTGTCGAAAGAATATAGCAATTGAATCATGACGTGTAGGGAAGTAACTGGCTAGATTAGTTGTATACTGCCGACACCACCGCCACCGGCAGCAGCAGAAGACGATGACCATGGAATGGATATTGTAGTACTACTACTACTATTGGTTGAATCTGTTGTAGTGGTTGTTATAGAAACTGTAGCATTGTTAACAATATAATCATCTACAAGTTGTTCTGGGATATGTTTGATATCTACGCTTGTAGTATTATCCTGATTCATACCACCACCACCAACACCAACACCAACAACATCATCAGTAGCTGTTCCAAGAAGACCAGAGTCTAGATTACTTTGTGAATTATTGTCATCAGTAGCTCCACTGGCCAGTAGTTGAGCTGCAGCTTGGGCGGATTCATCTTCAACACCAGAGGATAATAATCGATGGATAGTAGAAGTTTGTCGTTGCTGTTGTTGTTGTTGTTGACTTAGTGGTATTGTAGTAATAATACCTGTTAAACGTGGTTGTTGGTGTTGTTGTTGTTGTGGTTTAGTCTCAGAGGATGGTGGTGATAACTTTATGGCTTTAGTTGGCAACACACAAGTTGGATTTATAACTTTTTGATTGGTAGATACAACAACAGAGTTGCGTGTGTAAAAATTGTTAGAACCCTAAAAAAACAAAAAGAAATTTTAAAATAAAATGCATATTTGAAAGATTTATCTTTTTTTAAATTTAAATTTTTATTATAGCTTGATTCCACACAGTATTTTGGTACAACTATGGAATTTTCAGCATGCGATATCGGTAGCCCAAATTTAGCAGACCGACCATTGATGATATCAGGTGTACGCTGGCCGAGGATCGAACCCCGGACTATGTACGTGGGAGGGGAGTGTCCTTACTGGCGGTGTCAGCGACGCTGGTTAAGCTTCTTCAGTCGAGTGTTAGGGGCAAGGAGGGAAAATCAATCAACGAGGTTGCAAAGCAGCTGTGTCGATTGAGATGGTGAGGACATGTGCTATGCATGCCTGGTCATCATTTTCTCCTCTATGGGAAATGTTAGAAGCTGACACAGGATTAGGATGGTCAGGGACTTCCACCAAGTAGCAGGCCAGCATGTCCACGAATCCAGTTTTATGATCATCATACTTTTGTGGGAAAAATTTCATCAGCTTACACATTTGACAGGAGCGCATCGCATGCTAAGCAATCGAAGACTGCTGCTCAAGCTGTTCAAAAGGCTCTGCATTTTATCAGCATCTTCACCTAGGAAGACTACATCATACCCGCATAATCTGAGTCAATCCCTGAGACGCTGAAGTCAGTTAGGGTTAAGTCGATTAGTACATCTATGATGAAATTAAATGGAAATGGGGATAGTGGCCATTCTTGACGGACACTAATGGTTGTCATTGTTACGTCACACCGTCAAATCCCTCCCGTTGATGGTGACTGGCGATGGATGTTGTTGTTGTTGGTTAATTATTTTCATAACCTCCATCTCGTCTATGTTCACCTGGAGTCCTGTCTTTGCTGCTTCTCCGACCAGTTTGTCGATTTTCGCTTGTAAGTCTTCGATTTTGTGTGACATCAAACATAAATCATCCACAAAATCCAGGTCTTCTAGATTCTTCACGTCAGACCAGGATATCCTTGTCTTCTCGTTTCTCACTGTCTGACGCATAATCCAGTCCACCACAATTAGGAATATCATTGGTGATAATAAGCACCCTTGTCTGACTCCTGTGTTTACTCCAAACGCCTCGCTGAGTTTTCCGTTTTGGATCACTTGACATGTGCCGTTGTCATACAGCTGTTGAATAAGGTTGGTAAATATTTGGGGTACGCCGTAGTACTCGAGAAGTTTCCAAAGACGGAGCTGAAATTATGTTACTGCGGCTTTATCGCGTTATTACGAGTATTTATAGACTATTTAGCTGCTGTTACTTCATTCATTTATCTAGGGAGCATTGTCTCAACTACAGGAGGAACGGACAAAGATGTCAAATCGAGAATCGGGAAGGTGAGAAACACATTCATCAACCTAAAACCAATCTGGAAATCTTCGTCACTAAGCTTGCATCAGCAACAAAGTGATTCGGATTTTCAATACAAACGTCAAGTCAGTTCTTCTCTTCTATACGGATCAGAAACTTGGTGGGTCACGAAGAATAATTCCAGCAGCCTGTTGCAGACCTTTATCAACAACTGTCTTCTTTATATGCTGAAGATCAGATGGTCGCCGGAAAGAATCACCAACAAGAAACTATGGGAACAAACAAAACAAGAACCAATCGCTCAACAAATATGCAGGAGAAAGTGGAGATGGATTGGACACTCGCTGAGGAGGCCGCTGGGTGACATCGCGCGTCAGGCCAGTGCTCGAGTGGAACCTGAAAGGTTAGCGGCGAGTGGGACGCCAGTGCAAGGGTGACATGGAGGAGATCGTGTGAAGAGGAGTTGGAACAGTATGGACTAACATGGATGCAGTGAAAAGTACAGCAGAAGAGAGAAGCAAGTGGAGACGTGCAGTTGAAGCCCTATGTTCCACTAGGTACCCAAGGGAACAATAATAATAAGACCTTTCCATAGCCTTTTATTTGGCTGCATGAGTTCGAGTAGATTGCCTTGATCAGTTCAATTTATTTTTTTTCTCGGAATTCTCTTCGCGACCAAACACTGCCGCTTTCAGGTCAAGTGCTTCTATGTTCTAGAATCTGTCGAAGGGTGAGGATACGATCAATACAACCCATTCCTGGTGCAAATCTTAAAGTCTAAATGTATCACATTTCAACTGCCCACTCTCTCTGCTGAAACTTAGGACATCAATAGATGCTAACAAAATTACAAAACATGGAGGGAGGATGCAAATTTATCCTGAATGGTTTAAGAAAATCTTCTGTATAAGCTATACATGATTCAATCCACGGGTCGTTGGCAGCCAAAATATCCAGATCTTCCTCGAGTATTATGTACTATTATGTACTGACAACGTGAATTTTACGTTTTAAGGTGAACATCTTCAACAAGTGGATGGCCTTGGATGCTATGGATAGTCCATTACGACCTTTGTTAGCGGACGTTTACTTGTTTTATGTTGAGAACTTGTCCCTTGATTTAATTTTTCTAAATTGCTCTTCTATAGGAGATATGTAGATATGATATCATTTTGATATGTGACGATCATGAAGATGCGAGTTGTCTATTAGACAGACTTAACTCTGTACAGAATCATATTAGTCTTACATACGAGGAAGAAAGTCGCAACCGGCTTGCATTTTTAGACATACTCTTCTGAGTCGAAGAGATGATGGTTCAGTAAGACGATCAATCTACAGAAAGCCTACTTGGACAGGGCAATACCTTAGTTTTCACAGTTTCTGTCCATTACAGTATAAGAGAGGCTTGGTGAAATGTGTTTTTAAGAGGATTCAACGTATTTTCACAGCTTATGTTATAGACAAAGAAAATTAAGTATTGATGGATACTTTTGTTGAAGACGGATATCCTTAAAATTTTTTAAACCGGTGTAGAAGTCAATTAGTCTTTAAACCTACAATCTATACTACCCCTAAAAAAATCTTTTCATGAAATTACCATAAAACGGGTAAATAAACAATAGGATTTTGAGACAAAGGTGGAATTCGGTCATCCATAGGACCTATTATGCAGTCTAGCTTGTAATTGTCGAAAAAGCTAAAAATATGCTCCACTGCAAACCTCAAATGTGCACAAGTGATTACGTCACATCCCAAACTATTTACCAGTTTTCGTGTTTTTGTGTGTGGACATACATACTTAAGGAGGAGTAATCATGCTTTGTATCTGAGGTGGAGAGAGCATATCCTGAAATGGTTAGAAAAACAAATGAACTGTGAAAAACCAATAGATGCAGGTGTCAGACTACCAACTTCATGTATACCTAAACATATAATCGAGATGAACCATAAGATTGATGTTAACTCAGCCTTTAAGGTCATCTAGAAAAAAGCGGTCAAGGGCGATTATTAAAGTACGGTGAGGCTATAGCTATTCATAAACTTAAGCCCTCCACTCCCGTGTGTGTTCAAAAACAGGTTATTATTACTCTTAGCCTACCTTGGTAATCCTTATTTGATTGGATTACCAAACGTTGTGTTAATCATTCTTAAATCCTTTTTTCTCACTTTGTTTAATTTAATTGCCTTTAATTTTTTCATCTGTATCGACTTGACAAGTAAATGTGTGAGGGATCAGATTGTTCGAAATGTATAGTCCAAATACATCATCATATTTTTCAGATAATCTCCGTCTTCTAATTATTACTATTATTATTATTCCCTTTAATTCCTAGAGGAACATAAGGCTTCGGCCGCACGTCTCCATTGCATCCGGTTCTCTGCTAGTGTCTTCACCTGGCTCCAAATCTGCCCACACACTTTCATCTCCTCTTCATATGACCTCCTCCAAGTCACCCCTGCACTGACGACCAACTCGCCGCTTCCATTTCGGGTTCCACTCGAGCAATGGCTTGTCTAGCGATGTCACTTGATGGTTTCCTCAGAGTATGGCCAATCCATCTCCATTTCTTCCTGCCTATTTGTTTCACGATCGGTTTGCTCCCAGAGGTCCCTATTGCTGATCCTTTCTGGCTATCTGATCTTGAGTATTGAGCGAAAGCAGCTGTTTATGAAGGTCTGTAGTTTGTTGAGGTGCTCTTTATGACGCGCAGTGCAAGTCTCTGATCCGTATAGTAGCACTGACTGACCACATTGGAGTTGAAAATTCGGATTTTATTTTTGATGCTGAGTGCTGTTGACCTCCACACAGACTTGACGTGAGTAGTGAAAGCTTGTCTTGCTTTTCCGATTCTTGTTTTGATATCCTCGTCAGTTCCGTACGCCTGTATAATAGAGAAGATTTGTAGCTCAGGTGGATGATTTTGGTGTGGTTGTGTTCTCTGAGCTGGATGGTTTGGTTGCGAAGCTTTCATTGCTCTACTGAGCAACATCTTCAGCGCATACTTCGATGTGAAGTGAGCTTTTAGAATTCTCTATGAGTTTATTAGTCATCTCTTCTAGTAACCTTGAACGTGATTGGTTGTTTTCGTGTGGCATTTCATCCCCTAGTTTGCTTGTCTCGATGCTGGCTGCTTCTTTGGTCTGAATGTCGTTAGTCATTCCTTCTGCTAACCTTGAACGTGATTGGTTGTTTTTGTGTGACTTCTCACTTTCTAGTTCACTTGTTTTGGTGTTGACTGTTTCCTTGACCTGAAGTTTGACTTTGTTTTTGTGTGAACAGTAACAACCCAACATCACACAAAATTAGCTGCATACGTACATTGTTCAAGAGAACCAGGACTCATTGCAGCACTCCCGCCTTGAGGAAAATTGAAGAAAATCATCTTATGGACGTCTTCCAAAGAAATGGATACCCACGAAACTTAATCAAAAGACATCTACCCCCAGCTCAACCAACCAAATCAAAGGCCACCAGCGAAAACACAAAGACAGTCGTCCTACCATATATAAAAGATATCTCCGAAATCACTGCAAGACTATTCAAACCTTTTGGAATTGATGTCGCTCATAAACCAACAAAGTCACTACACTCAGTTCTATGTAAGCCAAAGGACTCAACGGCAAAAGAAGACAAAACTAACGTCATCTACAAGATAAATTGCAACGACTGCGACAAACATTACATTGGTCAAAGTGGACGCCCTCTTCGTCTTCGCATTCACGAACACAAACTAGCTGTCAAAAGACACGACATACACTCCCTCATATCACTACATGCAGACAACCACGGGCACCAATTCGACTGGGACAATGTTCAAATCTTAGACAAAGGGAACTGCAAAAATGCCAGAGAATTCCTAGAGGCCTGGTATTCAAATGAATCAGCAATCAATAGACACATAGAGATTGACAAAATATACCAATCCATACGAAGAAATTCACACAAAAACAAAGTCAAACTTCAGGTCAAGGAAACAGTCAACACCAAAACAAGTGAACTAGAAAGTGAGAAGTCACACAAAAACAACCAATCACGTTCAAGGTTAGCAGAAGGAATGACTAACGACATTCAGACCAAAGAAGCAGCCAGCATCGAGACAAGCAAACTAGGGGATGAAATGCCACACGAAAACAACCAATCACGTTCAAGGTTACTAGAAGAGATGACTAATAAACTCATAGAGAATTCTAAAAGCTCACTTCACATCGAAGTATGCGCTGAAGATGTAGCTCAGTAGAGCAATGAAAGCTTCGCAACCAAACCATCCAGCTCAGAGAACACAACCACACCAAAAACCGTACGCCTGTAGATGAAACGATGCTTCCCAGGTAGGTAGGTAAAGGAGGTTGTTTCTTTCAGGTTGCTCCCATTTATGTTTATTGATGTCTGCTGCTGTTGCTGCTGGCCAGGAATCTTCATCACCTCTGTTTTATCTATGTTCACCTGAAGGCCTATCTTCTCTGGATGCTTCTTCTGCCAACTTGTTGCTTTTCACTTGCATATCTTCCAGTTTGTGGGAAATCAGTTATATATATATCATCGGCAAAGTCCAGATCCTCCAAGTTTTTTGTGTGGGTCCATTTTATGCCTGTTTCCTCATTACCCGCAGTCTGTCGCATTATCCAATCTACTGCAGTCAGGAAAATCATTGGCGATAGTAGGCAGCTTTTCCTGTGGTTACGTAACCTAGTATACTGCTCTAGTCTTTCTAGTTAAAATTTATTTCTACCCACAAAAAAAATCTGTTGGATTCTGTCCTATGATCTCCAAGCGTAGTCTCGTATTATTTTCCTATAAATAATCAATCCTTTTCACTCTTAATTATTTAACAATTTATATCATTCCTAAATAATGTTACTCTTTTAGTTGCTACCGATTACTTTTTGTCATCGTAGGAAAAGCATGTTCAAATCTTTAATATATTATTGATATCTTCTTTTGTATTGTTCAGGTTGTAGCCGATTGAGAAGAAACCTCAAAATAATTTAAAAAATGAGTTCATATTGTCTCCTGGTACACATTTGTTGTTCTTGCTTTGTTAAAGTTTATTAATCGGAAGAATTTTATAAAGTTTTCTAAACTAATCGTATTACTGGAATTGTGGTTCATTGGTTTAGGCAGTAACATCCTTAACAGGGGGGTTACGGGTTCAACCACTCCCCCCCCACCTGACCTGAGTGACTGACTGATTTCAACGTAGAACTTTGCACGGATGTGTAGTAGTTCCAGTTGCCACACTCCCTCCATGTATCACACAAAACAACAGAGGAGAGTAAAGAGAGATTCGAAAGATAGAGAGATAATAAACAGAAGTTTTAGAGAGGCAAAAAGAATAGCAATACGGTAGAACAATAGAATTTTATTGGATATTGTGAATCACAAGGAGTGAATGCATCTGCAACAGCCATCACAGAGAACGATCTTTTTGAGCCATACCACCACCAATTGTCCCCAGCCGTCATCGGTTTCTACTGTTCCGAGGACCCCAACCAATCAGGAAATCTACACCTTCTTACATGACTGACTTAAACTAACTGTTGTGGATCTCATTGACTGATGAAGGCATGTTTTGATTTGACCACCAATAGCCTTCTCTTTCCCAACCTGATCCATACTATGTCAGCTAACATTGCCCATTGTCGACGAAGGCGATCGATGGCTAGGTATGCCTACGTTACACATGTCCTAATCATCTTATTCACTGTAACTTCACAATGTCGTCATCGATTGATTTACCACCCCTCCACACCTAACTAGCACACTCGACCGATGCTTAACCTCAATATTGCTCATCTTATTAAACCGCTCAACACGGAGATAGAACACAGACACCTATGATCAAAGACAGTTAGCTAGCCTTTTTGTATCTTCCACTTCCAATGGCCACGTTTCACAGCCAGTCATAAAGGAGGACAGTGTGAACTGTGCGTCGGTGGCACAGTGGTTAGGACTCTCGCCGACCATGCACATGGTCCGGGGTTCGATCCCCTGCCGGCGCACACCCGATATCTATAGTCGGCCTGTAAATTTGGGCTACCGATATCCATGCTGAAAATTCCATACTTGTACTGAAAATACGGTGTATAATCAAGCGGTAATCAAAATAAAAAAAATAAATATTTGACGGGAGCGAATCGCATGCCAGACATTCGCAGATTACAGCTCAAGGTGTTCAGAAGACTCTGTTATGTTTTGTCAGCGTCTTCACCTCACCTAGAAGGACTATATCATCTGCATATTCTAAGTCAACAAGATTATTCCCTGATGGTAACAAGTCAATCATCCCTGGGTCGTTAAAGTCTAATAGTTAATTTAAAAGTTCAATTAAATAAACTATTGGAAAATACTAGTTTAATTAAAATTATTAATTATCTTACTTGATCAAGTTTTTCAGGCGGTATAACTTCTTCAATAGACGGAGCTCGACCTGTTGCCTTAAGTACAGACCATATCGGTGAAGTAGATCGCCATGCATATGTGTCTAAAATATGCTCAACAACTTGATTCATATACTTTACAATATCTCGTGGGAGATCCATATTACGAATGACAACTTCAATTACCTATATGATGACAAGAAAATGATAAGTAAGCAAACAATTGAATTAACAAAAAGTTTTATACTTCTTCTTTCCCAGTAAAGATGCAAAAAGTCATATAGTCAAATGATGCGATTAGCATAACAATATATTTGTGAATTGATGAACCCATCCAGTGAAGGAACACTTTTGAAGTGAATCTGTTATTTACGAGATGGAATTCTTCGAGTCCCAGTGAGGTCGACCAAGTCGGGTTTGAGGACAAATACTTACCACCAATGGGATTCGTTGGCAGTGACCTGCTTGTCAATCTAAATATTCTGGATTCCGTGTTTTAATGGGATGATTGGGTGCGTACTGCTGAGTAGTCCAAAACCAGGACGAAACAACTGTCCAGTACTATGGCAACGGAATGTTACTGTTTTTGTCGGCTACTGTCTATCTTGACTACAGTGCACCTCCAAACAGCTGACGACTAGGAAATATTCCCCACACTGTCAACAACAACAACCTTTATTCTTCCCAATACACAGCACATATATCCGTTTACACATCAATGGAAATTTAGTAAATATTCAAGTATTGGTTTTGTAGGGATTTTTATTTGATTGCATGGAGGATTTCATCATGAGCTGACATCAGTTAGAGAACCACTGGAAAACCAACTGGGAGTACTGGACAGCAGGTTGAAGATGAGGCAGTAACTCATCGAAGAAGACATTGCGAAGTGGTCGCGCTATGTCGTGAATTAGCAGAAGTTAGAATTCAAGGACCATTGGATAGGGTCCCATCCTCTCAATAGTCTACGAGCTCACCTTGTAATCAGAATGTCCTGCGTTCGAACCCCGACGGGCGCGTACTGATGAAGAGTCCCAAACCAGGACGAAACAGCTGTCTGATAGTACTCCCAGGTTTTCCAGTGGTTCTCTAACTGATGTCAGCTCATGATGAAATCCTCCATGCATAAACAAATAATCAATCATGATCTTACGGCTAACAATGATATGTTGTCTGTCCTGAAACCTCACCATTTTAACAAGTTCTCAACTGAGAGTCTACCTGAGCATACTTCGCAGGTCTGCGTAACCTCTGAAATTTTCATAGTACCGGCAATTCTGGTTCACTCATCGTTCCTCCTCTGCACAGAATGTCCATGGGTAAACTCTCCTGAAACCGGTTGCTAGTATTCACAGAACCTTCTCGTTCCCTGAAGTGGTATGTATGTCTTGATGACTACAGCAGTCCTCTGACGTTCACATTGTATGATAGTGTACCCCTTTTTCTCTTTGATTGTTCCTGTTATCCATTTAGGTGTAGCAGTTTGAAAACCACAAACCTATACAGATTCACAGACAGATAAATGTCTGAGTTTTGCCCCATGACGTTGATTGATTGTATTGTCCTTTCATCTTCGTATCTCTTGATTTCTCCTTTTTAAGCCTTGGAAGTAGATTACCAACAGCAAAATATGATGGATTTGGTGTTAATAGAGAATCTGAAAGGAACGTTTGAAGCACTTGTCCTAACGTCCCTTCCTTGCAGAATGGTTCGTTTGAGTGTATCAACAAAACGCGCTGCTTGACCATTCGACTGTGGATGATACAATGGACATAGGATAGTACTTCTGGGACTGACTTGATGTAAACTGCATTCCACTATCGTTTACACATCCACGGAAATTTAAACCAGAAATAAATAATCAATATCTGATTGTTGCTAACAGTGATACGTTATCCGCCCTAGCATGTACTTCCTGGAGGTTTCATAATACTTCTCTAACTGGTGTCACTTCATGAGATGTAACTTCAGACCCAATCCAATCCCAGCAAACCACCACTTGAAAATATATCTGTACACGTGTTGAATCCTAGATGGGATATAAGTTCCTTCTAGATTGCAGATCCGCCTTGCTGTGACGGCTGCCAACAAGCATGAAATCTAAGTGTTCATGGCTTCCTGAGGCCAACTGCCTCCAACAATTTAATGACGACAATTCACAGTGTACCACGATGCCCAGCCACCTAATCTGGCGACCTCACTGCAAACTTAACTGAAAGAATTCAGTCTGCACCATACGAGGGACTAGAAGCATATCCTGTTGATTTCTAGGAAAAATTTTTCGTTTGACTTATTAACATAAAGAAGTTGAGACTTTCTGCTGGAATAACTCAACCTTACCTCTTCTGTCTTACAATTTATTAATTCATGTATTCTGCCCATTCTTCTTTGCCTTTAATCTCTCCTGAACTTCTCGAAAAAGACTGTAAGCGTAGGGTTAGTGGTGTGCTCTTGACCTAACTAACTGACATTATTGTCAATAGGCACTTCACTTCTTGTAAGCAGTTGGCTAAAGTTATCTTGTCTGATACCGAACATCCACCACCTTATTCGTAACTGACTCCTTGTATCTCTCTTCGGGTAAGACCAGAAGAAATTTCATAAGAATTTATGCTCGTACAGCAAAATATAAAAATGCTAGCATAACATATTTAGCGCGGTTTTTTTTGTGAAGAGACGAATAGCAGAAGACAACTTATAAACTTTTTAAATCTGTATGTGAACTGCAAAGTATAACAAATATTATTATTATTATTATTATTATTATTATATTATTATTATTAAATGTATTATTTATTGTTATTTATTTATAATTCATACTATTCCACCAACTTTCAGTTCTTGTAGTTTTATTAGTTTTCGATTTTCTGTACTTATACATTTCCAGAAAAGGAGATAAGATTGTTGCAATATGCATAAAAACGCTGAAATTCCATTCTGTATGATTGTTATTGTTATTGATCGCTTAGGTTCCGAGTGGAACATACAACAGCTTCAACAACACATCTCCACTTTGTTCTACTTTCTGCTGTCGTCTTTAACTAGGCCCATAATTGCCTATAATCTCTCATCTCCTCCCTGTCAGACGACCTTATCCATGTCACCCTAGGATGACCCACTCGTCGCTTTACATTCGGGTTCCACTTGAGGGACGACCTCCTCAGTGGCGTGTACCCGATCCACCTATACTTTCTCCCGCATATTTGTTAAACGATAGGTTCTTAGTAAGTCTGTTCTGACAGTTTCTTGTTGATAATTCTTTCCGGCCGGCCAGCCATTTGATCTTCAGTATGAGGCCAGCAAAGGGGGGCAGCTGTTGATATAAGCCTGCAACCTGTTGGAAATGCGCCTTTCGTGATGCGCAGCGAAAGTCTCTGATGCATACAGAACTGATTTGACTTGAAACTCCAACGCATAAGGTTGGAATAAAGGGATTATTATTATTACTATGACTTCGGTTACCACCTGTCGTCCAATCAAAGTGTCTATTACAGAACTACAGGAGGTCAGTCGCAAGCCCAAATAGCTCAGTGGCAATATCTCTAACTGCAGGGCTGGGTGAGGTGGGTTCGAATCTCAAGAGGGACAGCATGAATCTCTTCATGGTTGTAGATACGTCTGACTAAGAAGTGCCAAAAAGCACAACATCTGGGTCGTGGGCTACATCTGCCGATTGTCCCCAACCATTCAACAATACATATTTTTTTATTCCCAGTGGAACATAGGGTGCCTTCAAGCTGGAAGCTTGAAGTTTCTGTAGCAGTGGTGTTTATTTTTACAGCATGGGATTGCTAGTGTCATGCCCAACCTCGCCTCTTTACCAGCTTTATTTCTGGCTTAGCGAGGTAAAGGAGAAGTGCGTCCAGTGGCCGGGGATTGAACCCCGGACCACATGAGGCGTGGTCGGCGGGCGTTGTAACCGCTGTGCCACCGACGCACACATGCATATACACCTCACAAATTAAAAAAAAACAAAAACAATATTTGACACTCACCTTGAAGAAATGCAATGAATCCAAATTTAAAGCTTGTAAAATCCAAGGGAAATGATGATTTGGAGGGTCGCAACTTAACAGAACTATTTCCATACAACAAGTGAACAAAGCACGATGAAAAGTATCTTGTGATAGCAGTGGTCCAAGATCAGGACGTACACGACGTGTTTGATTTGAACTACTACTAGTAGTAGTAGTAGTAATGGTAGTATTGTTTGAAGAACTAGACAACGGAGTGACACCATCGAGTCGTTTTTCAATCCTACGAATTTCATCCATCAAAATACGCTCTAAAGCCAGATAGTAAAGTGGATAGCATAGCTGTAAACGTTGTTGTGCAGCAGAAACAGCTAAACTGGTTGCTGTTGACGTCGGTGTCACTGTCACTGTCACTCCACTACTAGTAGTAGTAGTTGTTGTTGTAGTTTTTAATCCAGCATAGGCACGTTGAAATTGTACACCCAGGTCTTCAAGCCGTTGACGGATTACAGGAAGGGGTGAGGTTGAACAATGCGCTTTAATAAGATCAGCTAAGGCTTCACTTGGCTCTTTATTTCGACCATTTAATAAGATCTGTATGAGAAAGACAAAACACAAACATTATGAGACATTTCAAAAAAAAAAGAACTTGATATTGTGAAAGTTAGATAATTAGTTATCACAGCAGGTAGGTGTACATGCATCTGTGCATATCTCCTCACCTACCTATCTACCTAAAGTAAAAGAGGACACTTATTGAATCATCGCTGTGTATAACTGCATGCAGTGAGTGCTATAGCTGAACTATTCTCTAGATTTCTTATCTTATTCGGGTCAACTAATCTAGATTTCACTGCTAGGTTTTCATGCTCGGCTAGTCTGACTGACTGCCCCTGTTCCACTACTTTGACCTATGTATTTGACCTGACAATCATTGCAGACAGGGTATCAGATAAACTAAATTGCTTTGTTGAATTGGCTCCACAGGCAGGATCCTTTAACCGACAAAGACTGTTTCTAGTTGAGGTTGTGGGTGATTGAATACCAGCCACTTTTATTCCTGCCATGTTAAGAATTCTGCGTAAGGTGGTTTCCGAGGTTCCTTCCTTGTATGGAATAACTACTGATGATTTAGATTCCTTATGGTTGGTGTGGTCATTATCCTGTGCATGTTTGACATGCATATCGTCATTAATATTACCATTGTTATTATTATTATTATCACTGTCACTACTATCATTATTTATTTTACTTTTATTTTTACATTTCCCTACATACTTTCTGACTAATTTATCAGGTTAATTATTAAGTTTCAAAACTTCTCTTATATGCTTATATTAACGACGACAAACATGTCAAACATGTGCAAGACATCACCAACAATAAGGAATCTATACCATCAATAGTAATTCCATACAAGGAAGGAACCTCGGAAACCACCTTACGCAGTATTCTTAACAAGGCAGGAATAAAAGTGGCTGGTATTCAGTCACCCACAAACTCAATTAGAAACAAGCTTTGTCATTTAAAGGATCCTGCCTGTGGAGCCAATTCAACAAAGCAATTTAGTTTATCTGATACCCTGTCTGTAATGATTGTCAGGTCAAATACATAGGTCAAACTTATAGAACAGGGGCAGTCAGACTAGCTGAACATAAAAACCTAGCGAAATCTAGATTGGTTGACCCGAATAAGATAAGAAATCTAGAGAATAGTTCAGCTGTAGCACTCACTACATGCAATTACACACAACCATACGATAGCAAGGGATAAGATGACAGTTTTAAAATCTAATGTCACAGGGTGGAGGGAGAGAGAGATTGATAACAGAAGCTTTGTTTATCGAATCAACTGCAAATACATGTAATAGGAATGATTCGACACCTGTCCCAGATATCTGGAAAATTCCACTACCCCTACGACAAATAAGAGAAGACAAAGAAAACTATAAACCTCAAGTTTCAAAGTCGTGTGATTACAATTGATATGATTATGAACAATAAATTTTGTTCGAAACGTCATCCAGTAAATAATACTGTTTCACTGTGTGATACATCTTATAAACAAACTAATATGGAATTCAAGTATTGGTTTGTAGGGATTTGGTTGATTGGTTACAGGATTTCATCATGAGCTGACATTAGTTAGAGAACCACTGGAAAACCAACAGCTGTCCAGTACTCCCAGGTTTTCTAATGGTTCTCTGACCAATGTCAGCTTATGATGAAATTCTGTAACTAATATGGAATTACTTACTACCACAGTGACCAAGTTTTACACATATAGAACTTAATATTGTGGAAGTTTGGTAATTGGTTATCACAGCAGGTAGGTGTACATCTGTGCATATCTTCTCACCTACCTACATAAAGTAAAACAGGACGCTCATTGAATAATGAATAAATAAGCTATCTGTTAGACAGAGTAGTACCTGAGAAGTTTGTTAACATCCTAAAAGCCCCAGTACAAAAACACGCGTCAGGAAGAGTGAGGACGTACAACAAGCTGCCACCATTGTCACCAACCAAAAGTGGGGTTACACAGAATTGCCCAATCTCTTCATTTCTTTTTAACTTCGCCAGCGATGACGCTCTAAAGTCAGCTCTGGAGGGTGTGTGTGGTGTGCATCTGCTTCCTGGAGAAAGACTTTTCAACCTCGAATATGCAGACAATATCGTCTTACTGTGCGATAGTATACAGACGGCCTGAAACGCAGGCAGTCAGTTGGCCATCAGTGTCTATAACCATGATTTGTGCTTTGCGCCGTTAAAGTGCGAATTACTATTGCAAGATTGGCATGAGGTTGTATCTGAACTCATACTTGCAGATGAACCACTTGAAATTGTCGATAAGTTCGTGTATTTAGGTAGCTACGTCAGTGATGGCAGAGGTGTGGCAGACGAGATCTCTAAGCGTATAACAAAAGCTAGGGTGACATACGCCAAACTGGGCCACCTCTGGCGCTGTCGCGACGTCAGCCTGGCTGTCATAGGTCAGGTTTACAATGCTTCGGTGTGCAAAATCTCGCTCTACGCCAGTGAAACCTGAACTTTCCGAGCTGAGGATGTGGGGCAACTATGCTTATTCGAATATCGCTGTCTTCATAGAATTGCTTGCGTCCGAAAGCACCATCCTTTGCATAATTCTGTGGTCCGACAGCCTGTATTTGGACACAGCAGAGATCACCATTCATTTAGTGTCGTTATCTGGAAACACTAGCTTCACTTGCTTGGACATGCACTACGAATGTCATCCTACAGTTTTCTGTACCACTCTCTGTTCGTCAGCCCTGGGAATGGATGGAAAAGGTGGAGAGGTGGTCACCTTATGACGTGGTGTCGTGGAATGAAGGATATTTGTGTTGGGTTAGCATCAGTTAATACATCATGGCTCCCTGGTTGGGGTTGAAATCGGTGGCTCGAAACGTTATTAGATATGGCCAAGAGTAGTGGTGAATATATACTGCAACTTCCTTTTTCCTTCCCTTTCTGAAAGTACCACGAAGCAATGAATGCTGAATGACCTTAACAAATCTTGCTGTCTGGATGACGTCCATCATATTTTCTACTCCCTATTTTCTTTAAATATTGTTGTTTTATTATTGTTGTGTGACGCATCCGTTAGTGTCCATATAGTACCGAGTTTGTGTTTCAAATAAATAAAAACACTAAATCTATAAAAACAAAACAATCTTTACCAGCATATTCATTTACGCGGGAGATCTCGGTTCGATCCTCGACCGACACACTCTTTAATCTCGCCTAGTCGATAGTGAACCAGGGGAAGAGAGGTTGGCCGTGAGGCTAATAACCACCCCCCCCCGTTTTGAAAAAAACACCATCGCTACTGAAGTCCCCACTCGACCCGCTCGGACCACAATCAGTTAAATTACCAATAGCAACAAAATGAACAACACTCATTCGACAGTAAGTACCAAAATATAAGTGAATATGTGTTTGCCATGCTTAGGAATTTATTATAGTTCGATAGCTTCCAGCGTTTAGTTGCGGTTGGTACTAGTGTTTTACAATGTTCCATCTAGACGATGAAAGCGGAGCTAAGAGTAACAGTTCTTTACATTTCATAACAACCTCAACAATATTGTTGCCGATATAAATACAACTTGATCAAGGCATAATCATGTGCGTTGGTGGTTTATCGATACAACGATCGCCAACCATGCCCCACATGGTCCGGGATTCGATCCTCGGCCAATGCACTCCAAAACCTCACTAAGCCGATAGTAATCCCGGTAAAGATGGAAGGTTGGATGTGAGGCCAGCAACCCCACCCCATAAAAATGAAACCATTGCTACCCAAAACTTCAAAGCTGTAGCTTGGAGTCCTATATGTTCCCCTAGGGACGTAAAGGAATAAAATAATTTCCTTTTAAGTCATACGTGTTATCAGTATGCATACCATCAAAAGACACCTTAGTTGCTTAGATAATCATTATCTGCAAACATTTACAAGTGCCCCAGAGAACAGCAACATCATTTCAGTGCAAGCTTTAATATGAAGTCAGCTCGTCTACGAATAGGGATGTTCATATTAAAGCTTCCTACCTACCATGTAAGGTGATATAATATTATTATTGTTCTCTTGGGTTCCTAGTGGAACATAGGGCTTCAACTGCACGTCTCCACTTGCTTCTGTCTTCTGCTGTACTTTTCACCTGCATCCATGTTAGTCCATACTGTTCCAACTCCTCTTCACACGATCTCCTCCATGTCACCCTTGCACTGACGTCCCACTCGCCGCTTCCCTTTCAGGTTCCACTCGAGCACTGGCCTGACGCGCGATGTCACCCAGCGGCCTCCTCAGCGAGTGTCCAATCCATCTCCACTTTCTCCTGCATATTTGTTGAGCGATTGGTTCTTCTTTTGTTTGTTCCCATAGTTTCTTGTTTGTGATTCTTTCCGGCGACCATCTGATCTTCAGTATAGAGCGAAGACAGTCGTTGTTGATAAAGGTCTGCAACAGGCTGTTGGAAATATTCTTTGTGACCTGTCAAGTTTCTGATCCGTATAGAAGAACTGACTGACTTGACGTTTGTATCGAAAATCGGAATTTTGTTGTTGATGCAAGCTGAGTGACGAAGATTTCCAGATTGGTTTCAGGTTGATGAATGTGTTTCTCGCCTTCCCGATTCTCGATTTGGCATCCCCGTCCATTCCATGTGCCTGTAGTTGAGACAATGCTCCCTAGATAAGTGAATGAAGTAACCTCTTTCAAATCCCTTCCATTGATGGTGATTGGCACTGGATGTTATGTTCAAATAAATATATATGGTATTATGTTGCTAATGCACTACTGAACTGTGGGAATAGTATTCAGACGTCAACACCAACAAATACAATGATTCTTATACTGTGAGGATAATATTCCGCTGGAACCCACTGTCTGTGTCACACCACCACAACTTATGAAATTTTTAATTACTCATCACACTATTCTCTTCAACAAAAAAGGAGGTGGCTTCATCGATTGAATGGCATAACAAACAAGTGAAAGACTACAGCATTAAGATAGGGGGAGGGAGTGCCAATAAAAACCCATTTGGAATAATTCAACAACTTGACTTGGAAGTTAGAAGAAGAAAAAGAAAAACACCTGCAGTATACACATACACACACACATAAAACACTTAAAATATGCCAATGTGTACAAACAAATCAACTAACTTGTAATTGATTGAGATTTTGACTTCTCGCCTCAGGATTGCTGAAATTAACACCTCCATTAAGACGGCTGATAGTTCCAGCATTGGCATTACCACGTCGTGTAGTTTCAGTGAAGCCACCAAAACCTGAATTACTCACCTCCTAATAAATAAAGAAAAGTTATAAAGGCATTTTTTTTGTTAAACAAAAGATCAAGAAAGAAGTGAATAGTGTTATATAACAGCTGGCATATATTCATGGATTTTTGGGAAGAGAATGCACTTAAGCCACTTAGGTCATCAATAAAAAATTGTTGTTGGAGATATGGAGACGAAACGTTAGTAATAGTGAGAAAGAACGATATTGAGAAACTCTTCTAGCACATAAACAGTCATGTCGACTCAATAAAATTCACTATGTAAAAAGAGAATGAAATAGGGGAACTGCCTATTTTAGACTGCAAAATACAAAGAGTAACATATGGTAGCATAAAAACGACACACTCTGGATGATTCCTTGATTATCACTCAGCTCATCCACTCACGGTAAAAGGAGGATTAACACAAGGTCTTGCAGACAGAATACGTAGACTTACAATACCAGAGGACCAGCGTAAAGAAATAAACGTCCCATTCAAAATGTTACTCGACAACAACTACCCAAAAGAATTTATCAAAGATAATATAAAAAAGAGGGTAAAACTGGAGAATGAAAAGACGGAGGAAGGCAAACAAACAGTCACAAGACTATACAAAAATGGTGCATCAGAGGCAATTCGAAGAAACCACAAAATTACTGGGATTCGCACGACGTTCAAACCAACGAATAGAATTAAAAATAAGATAAACCAATTGAAAGATCCAATAAAAATGATGGATAAAAACAATGTAATTTACAAACAGATATCTTGTGCCGAGTGTCTGACTAAATATGTGGGTCAAAAGTCCAGATCACTCAAAATAAGAGTGAATGAACGTAAACGCCTAACTAAATGTCAACGCACAGGAACACAAGCTTCAAACAATTTAGACAATAAATCGTCTATAGTTGCACATCCATGAGACAGAAACCATAATATTGATTGGGACAGTGTATTGTGAAATCTAATATGAACAAATGGAAAGAGAGACTAATAACAGAATCTATATTCATTAAGGTTACGCCGGATACATGTAGCAAGAAATGACTCAGTGCAACTATCAACAACCTGGAATATAATTCTGGATACACAAAAATGAATTTACAAAAAAAAGAACTACATATATGAGTACAAATCAAAAAAGTGTGAATTGAAAAAACAAAACAATTTCAACAGTTGGTGTGATCATGCGCGGTAATTTTGCTTGAAATATTACCAAAAACAAAAAACATGTATCATTGTGTGTAAACTACTGAAATATAACTGTAATATATCAGTTATAATTTGGTTAATATGGGTCAACCAGAGTGAGTCGGTGGTTCAATGGTGTGAGTGCTGGCTAGTACTCACGTTCGATTCCCGCCTAACGCTTAAGCCTAGTCTAGTTTACTAGCTGATACATGTGTATAAAACAGAGAAGCACTGACGCTGTACAACTACTCCATACAATTCATTAGGAAGGTCAAATAGAGCTCACACAATAAAAAAGAAAAGATACTAATGGAACTAATAGCCAGGACATAAACAGGAAATAATTTAAAGCACCTAGAGCTTTACCATTTATATATGGGAGAGACATCTGAGACATCGGAGTTTTTAAAAAGCTCACTCAAGTATAAGCTCTGTATAGACCAAATTAAACGAAATAATCTAGTCTACAAAATACCTTGAAATGACTCTGAGGTCAAAATTACACAGGTCAGACCAGTAGATCAGGGGTAGTCAGATTATTAGGACATAGGAATTAAGCGAAGTGAAGAATGACTGATCCCGTGAAGAGGAACAGAGCTATGAGGAAAACTCAGCACTACCCCACAATCATAGATTAAAAAAGTGGGGCAGACCTATAGTTCTAAAAAGTCATATAGGTAGGTAGATAGAGGGAGGGGTTGATCAGTGAATCTTTGTTCATTCAATCTAGAGAAAATATTAATACCAATGAAATGAAAAGATATGAAATAATCACATTATTTAGACGATGTCTGAAAGTTATGCGATCATGAGTAATAAATTGTGCTCAAAGCGCCATGAGCAAATAATGCTGTATCACTGTGTATCTATCAAATACATAGAGAATTCAATTCCTGGAATAGATCTCTCATTTCCCAGACTATGAGTCACACTTACTGTGTAAGTGATGATGATAATTTCCAGTAACCCAGGCTGAAGTAGGTGGCGGCGGGATTCAAACCCAGGGCTCTCTACTGACTGAAAGTTGAGCGCCTCAATCAGTGAACCATATCCACCTCCATCAAATAAAGTTACAAGGGAATCATTAAAATTCCTCTACAATATGCTCTCAAATATTTCTTGACAGAACTGAAATAAACATTGCTATGATTATTAAGCGGTAGTGGCAACCGATCGGTGCACATGAAAGTGACTGACTGACTGATTGGTTTCAATGTAGAACTTTGCACCAATGTACAGTAGTTCGAGTTGCCACACCCTCTCCTTGTACCACATAAACCAAGGGAAGAGAGTAAAGAGAGATTCAAAGGACAGATAATAAACAGAAATACGAGGCAAAAAGAATAGTAATATGGAGGAACAATAGAATTTTACTGGATATTATAAATTATAAAGAGTGAATGAATATCTGCACAAGCCATTGAGAACGATTTTGAGCCATATCAGCAATTGTCTCCAGCCAATGGTTTTTACCATCCTTTGGACTCCAACCAGTCAGCAAGTCTGCATCTCCCTACATGACTAGCTTAAACTAACTGCAGTGGATTTCATTGACTAATGAAGCCATATTTTGGTTTGACCACCACTAGCTTTCTTTTTTCCAACCTCATCCATCTTATGTCAGCTAACATCGCCCATTGTCGAGGAAGGCGATGGCACATGAAAGTACTCGTTAAGACAGTATGTTAGTAAACATGACGATAAGCAGCATACACCACAAATATCTAGTGTAAACTTTTAAACGCCAAGTACATTCCCAGTTATTATTACAGATGTAAATTATATTGGGAAGCAATCGTCAGGAACTTACAAGCATATATCTACGTGCAGATGGTGTTAAGCCTGCAGGTAAATGAAATTCCGATTGTACACAACTTTCTCCAATTGATCCAATCTCTTCAGCTGCATTCGGATTAAGATAAATACGTTCATCGAAATCTCCAGTTCCAATAATGTATTCTTCATAATTATTATTTAAATTTTGTAGTGTTGCTTCAAAATTTTCCGGTTCTAATAAACTTCCAAGAACCGAGGGATGAATTTTTATTAACTCCTGTTAAAGCAGAAAAAGACAAAGAAGAAAATCAGACAAATTATCAGACAAATCAGTTTACGAGCTTGCCTTGTAACCGTAAGGTCCTGGGTAGGTACCAATAGCGAGTCCAAAACTAGGTCTGTCTGTCTGTCTGATTTCGACATAGAACTTTGCACCAATGTGCGGCAGTTCAAGTCGCCACACAGAGCAAAAGAAGAAAGTAGAGGAAATGCATAATATAGACAGTAAACAGGGGTGTGAGACAAAGGAATAGTAATAACGGAGAACAATATAGTTTCATTGGAAATTATAAGTCACAAGGAGTGGATGCATCTGCGCCACTGAGAACGATTGTGAGCCATGTCACCAATTGTTTCCAGCCTTCATTGGTTTTTACCGTCCCGAGGGCCCCAAACAGGAAGTCTACACCTTCCTACGTGGCTTAAACTAACTATCCTGGATTTTATTGACTGGTGCCATGTTTTCGTTTGACCGTCGCTAGCTCTTTTCCAACCTGACCCTATGTCAGCTAACACTGCCCATCCAGGAAGGCAATGACTAGGCATGTGTAACACATGTCCTAACCATCTCAGGCGATGTAATTTCACAGTTCCGTCGATTGATTTCCCCTCCTTACCTAGCACTCGACCGATGTCTAACCTCAATATTGCTCGCCTTATTATACCACTTCACACGGGAAATAGAGCGCAGGCACCTATGATCAAAGACAGCTAATCTTTGCATGTCTTCCACTCTCAATGGTCAGGACTCTCGTCCAAAACTAAGACGAAACAGCTGTCCAGTACTCCCCATCGGTTTTTTCTAATGGTCCTCTAACTGATATCACTGTATGGTCAAACTTGAAACAAATAAAATCCATACAAACTAACTCTTGAAAATATATTTGTGTACAACTCAGGCATTAATATCTTATCTTGATTAACCGCCTTTATTATCCTTTCTTTTCTAGCTTATTAGTTTTGACAATTTCTGGTAAATACTAGTGACATTCCTTTGTTACCCCGCCTTCCCACCCCACTTAGTTAGCTTTCATATCGATACACTGACGTCACGTGTGAACATTTAGACTGAGAAGCAGTTATACCAAGTTTTCTAAGCTGAAAGTGTTAGGCTGTTTCTTACTACATAGAACAGACACCGAGGTTTGAAAGTACCATTCACTCTGATAACATTGTCATAAGATATATTTCATTATTTAATTTGAAAGTAGATTCAGCTGGAAAAAGCCACCAAACCAAGTGTACAAATACATTTCCTTTTAAGGATATAGAGATTCCACGGCTTCCTTTCACCAAATTACTAAAAAAAAACAAGGACTATTAACAAATAAACAAACTCTTTAGTTTATTGACTTTTTCCAAAACCAAACGAAGACACGATATTTAATGGCATTGGAAAGAGTACTTTCTTAAATGGTAAATATGTACACGGATTCCACAACATAACTTTACTTAGCCTTAAATTTATAGAGCATATTAGTCAACATGTTTAACTGTGAATACAAAGAATAAAATTATGCTCACTTTTTCGATTAATCGTGCCGTGAACCTTTGGAAGAAGTGTTGTTTCACAGTTTTACACTCAACATAATTAACATCGTTATCCTCACATATTGGACGTAGCATACAGGTCGGTTGATCATGCGGTGGACACCAGGTTTTGTTTTGAGCGACCGCATTTAAAAAATCCCTGGGCAAACCATTTTGTTCCATATTGATTAAATCACGTCTTCTGGAAACCATAGTTGCTCCTAACACCCAGTCTAAACAACACGCCAATAAGTGGTAGGAGTTAACCAAATCATCTGTGACTGCTGGAAAACTCGCTCGAGACTTTATGAATAATAGCCACGTCAATCGGAATAAATCTGAACCCGTAGGATGCGCTGTGATAGTAAAAAAGAGAGTTAATTCCTTGACTATTTTTAAAAGTTAGTAATTAGTTGTGTAACAAAATGGGGACTTAACACCTCTTGGAATAGACGCTTAAACAATGCGTCTTCAGGAATAACTTCCAAATTAAAGTTTATTGAAGATGTGCTCGTGATCCATGTAAATGCTAATGTATATACATTATTACTTTTTTACGCATCATTCAACTAGGGTTTTAATAATGACAGTAAAATTGCACACAAAAGCCGCATTAGGAAACATTGTTGACGTTGAATTTAGAGTGAGTGGCTCTTACGTGCAGCAAGATTGAATTCAACCGTTTGCTTAATTATTTCCCGCAAGATATTATCGAAAAAAAAACTGTTAAACATGACATTCATAAATCCGATTCTAAGAAATACTACTGTTATAACTAGATTTTCAAAAAATGGTGTGTCCGAATAAATGTGCGTTTCCCGGCATAGTAAAACTGAACAGGTATGTATTAAATACATATCCGTCCTTTATCAAAGGATTTCTGGTAACACTGATAAAACATACAAAACAGCCGGCCTATAACATATTTAAGAGAAGGAACCCGTTAAGTTTATATTTCACTGTCACTGAAGTGTACTGACTGAGCCTTGACATAAAACTTTGCGTAGAGGTCTACAAGTTTAAGTTGATACACTCCATGAAGCATAAAAAGGTAGACAAACGAAATTCTAAAGAACTATAATAGGCAGGAGTGTGGAGAGAGAATACTAACATGGGAAAATATGAGGCTTTAATGGATATGGAAGATCAAAAAGAGTTAATACATCTGTACCATTGACAATGATTTTGAGGTATGGACTGAGGCCAGGTTTTGGTTTAACTTAATCCCTCAGCTCTCCTAAGCCAACCCTATTCCATATAACATTGCTGATTGAAAAGACGGTTGCTTGACGTGTGCAAAACATATCCTATCCACTTCAATCGACGTATCTACACAACATCATCGATTGATTTCCCTTCCTTATATGGTGCTCTACATCTAATATCAATATTGCTGAGAACATAATGATGTATAACGCCTAATCTAGATGTTACAACAAGGAACGCAAATTACCAACCGATTTGAAATTCTCGTAATATATATACTCAGAACATATACAAATAAAACTATGTAATCAGATCATAACCTGCTCAGCAGTGCTGAGGCAAGACTGACTCGAACTCAAGGAAACCACACAGTTTACAACATAAGAACACAAATAAATTCCTACCATATAACTTACGCCTGTGAATAAAAAGGAAATCACTGAAAGTAAAAAATTCTTACTTTGACTAGTTTCATAATCCGTGTCGGAAAATAGGACACCAAATGACCGACCGAAATTGCGGAAAACTACGGACGAAACAGAAAATTGACGCTCCAGTAGTTCGAGACGGTCTCTCATCTCATCTGCCATATCAGTCATGTCAGCCCATTTCCTAACGCGATGAAAGAACTGGAAAATGTGTATACAATGCAACATACTTGAACCATGCTCATTTTAGCCGTAGACAGCAAACGTGACAATGAAACGTAGGCGTTTTCAACATTCCCTGACATTCCATCTGCTGTTGAGCGCCGACAGCACTCGTATAATGAGCATACTAGCCACTGGATTTGATCGCCATCAATTGAATAATTTGCCCAGACATCTAATTGCAACTAAAATGGTCATAACAAACTAACCTTTGTACTTTTCCCAGGCTTCTTCTCTAACGTTTCCATCTATGCATAAATCTTGACATAGGTCTTCAAATCTCTTTTCCACTGGCTCTTCATAGTCATATTCCATAATAATATGAATATCTTAAATCAAATTAAACACAACACCCGAGTGTGTAGGTCATTAGATTCAACCTCCAATGCCTCATGTTCGTCCTCATGACTAAGAAATATAGTAACAGGTATTCAAAACTGATAGTTTCAAGTACGTATAATTCTTTATGCTTTTTGTGAATATGTAAACTCGGTGTTCTGCAATGGATAGTTCAGCCCTTGAAAAGCCTTCTACAAGAAACCGCAAGGTGACATAAATTGTAAGTGATGACCGATATTATGCACTCTAGCAAACTTCGGCCATAATGGAAAAATTCTTAAATTTACAAGAATCGTTCCACTTACTAGTATTAATCCTATGTAGCCGTCCATTATACTTAGATTTTCTCAAAAATGGAAGGAATTATGACCATATTAAGTTACATTTTCGGAAAATAAGAAAGAGTTTACAGCTCCTCTGTCAGATTTCCAATAGATTTGCGTGTTGCCTACCCAATGATATGAAAGTAAAAGGAAAAGAATGGCTCTTTGAACTAATTTCTCACTGATCATTACCTCTTAGAAACAAGAACAGATGCACCTTATTTTTGACACAAATTCACTCTACTACCACAGATGTAGAATGCCTAAAAAGATAAAATTGCTGAATTAAGATTGTGGTTTCATCAACAAATAAATACGGTGATAAGGTTTTAAAATCTCCTTGTCCGGACTGTGTGGCTCTGAGCTCAATGTTTACTCAGGGATCTTTTCCATTTTTACATTAGCATTATCATTCCCTCTCATCCGATAAGAGCTTGAAAAAGGGTAAAAATTTTTATTTCACTGCGTACTTCATGGAAACTTGCGTCCACACTTTAAATTGATAGTCACTAATTGAAATTCGTGTTTCACTTTCATAAGTTTCATGGTGTCTTTTGTGGTACTTCGACAAGTCCATCCTGTAACAATAATAGGTCTGGTTGTCAACTTCCCTTGAAAGAACTTGTTTGGTATGATGGAGACACTGATGATGGTAGTTTCTATTAGTTGGCATTTCCTGGAATAGTTCTATTATTTTCTGACCACTGAAATTATTTACTGTCTACTGGGATCAGTTAACCTGTAAATTTAATCTCTGAAACTGACGTGGTCTTTGGGAGACATCGAAAGTAATTAATGGCGCCTTCCTAGCCAAAATATTCACATAAAATTCAAGAGACTAAACTTCGTCTTCAAGACACAGCCTATCATATGACTACATAGAAGCCGGTTAGTTACTTTGCTTTAAGACTTTTAGCTCGTTTCGTGTTGGCCTTAACTAGGAACTGCACTCATGGTTGATGTGCGGCCATCTATCCTGCCCAATCTCCACTTCAGTCGTAATGCTTGCTGATTCCTTAGCCTCGCCAACTTGACTCGGTGGCCAGGCTGTTCTTAACTCTACCCTGAATATTGAACGGAAAATATAATACTTACGAATTTTCCAAGATGTATTTACCAATAATATTACGAAGGGAATTTGGGGACACAAAATCATCACAACGCAGCAGCCACATTCGTGTCCCTTGAAAATCGAATCGTCAGCAGCATGAGTCACTTAGCGCAATAAACAGTTTGGTCGCTGAAGGCGAAATGACTGAGGTTGAATTCAGTTGACGAATTACTTGCGTACCCTAAATTTAGAGAGCTGTTACGAAGTCAAATCGGAACGGTAATTTCATTTTTCCGAAATATGATATGTGTTTCGATATCATAAACATGGCTCGTCAGAATCTACTTAGCCAACTAGGACGTGTATAAACAAAGGGACGTGGTATGACTTAACCAGTAAACATAAAGGCCAAATGCTAAAGTACGAAGGGTGTGGGCCGATAATATTGGGGAGTTATGACGTACGACACAATCCGGATATTTCCTTTTCTTGTTTAGCCTTGCAATCGCGAAGTTTATACCCCTCTCTTCCCTTGAATGACGTCTCTTTACTTCGCGCTAGATCATTCCGGTGCTAGCTTTACTATGATGAATAATAAAAGTAATATCAGAGCCATGAGACGAAACTGACACACCAAAGACTTGGTGAGCATTTGGGTCCGACGTTTACACTGAAGTTTATTTATCTTGCGCAGATCCAGTAACCAACTTCTTTGAGCACTCGCCAAGCGCAATAAAGTCTCAGTAAACTTAGTGATACAACTAATAAAATCCTAGCATTTGGGTTTGAATGCAGTAAACAATTTAATCGAACCAAGTTAACACGACCTACCAGTCTAGTTAATTCTCCTGGATAATTCGTCAAACTTTCTTGAGTCATATGCAGCGAAAGGGCATACTTCAACCATAGCAAAATGCAAACTTAGGCAGAAATGATAATTATTCTATTTGCTTGGTTACTAAATTTAGAAAACTGATTAGTTCTAGAACTACTAGTTTGACGTACTAGTTAGCTACAAACTTCTGTATTTCCTCCCTGGTTGACTCCGTACAGTAGCCTTCTTCTTGCAGGCTGCACCCGTATTCTACCCCAAGCAGATTTCTTGTATTTGCTAGTTGCGCTTTCAGTGTGTTACTTACCTTCACAAGCGCTTATCACCACTGACATGCTAGTGTGAATTATTTTGTAGGTATGTGGTAGCCAGTCGTCTATATTAGAAGACGGATAATTAGAAATGCTGATATTGCGTATTCTGTGCCAAAACGAGACAAATTTTTCGGGAGAAGACAGTTAGCGAATGTGGCAGTCGAAATCTCGCACTAGTAAACTTTGGCCTTGTGGGGCAGTTTAGTCCTTATACACTCTATGCAGACCTCAGTGAGTAGTCATCTCGATTTATTCTCTTTCAATAACCATATTTCAAAACCATGTGCTGGAATCCCAATAAGTTTTTGTTGTGAAAGAGGACGGTCTAGAACTACCCAATCCGTTTCAGACTCACCTGACTACTTTTCATTTCAGCTTACCTGCCAGTTCCAGCTATTTTATATCTGTGGGACTATCACTTTAGAAGCTGATTTTTGTAATAAGCGTTAGGACTGATAGCATGTTGCGCAACTTTTATCCTGCAATTACACACCAACTCTGCTTTCCAATACTGGTCATAAGTTGATGAAGGAGAATCACTTAGTTCACTTTCCTGACATTTGTCCCTATGAAAGTTTATTCTGAGCATGTTTCGTCTGGGGTCTCCTGATGCATGACTTAGAATGTCACTTACTACGTACCCCACTGCAGCCTGTGGAGGGGTCTCCAGAGACATAAGCAGTGACGTCAATTAGTGTCTACCAATTTGCCTAGTAGATACCTCTCACAACACTCGTCCCCCCGTCAAATAGCTTTATTGGTAAAAACATTTTGATGTAAAAATACTGAATATTAGTATAGAGCCGATGATGAGAAACTAATTCAAAAGGAATATATTTCTTTGCCCAGTCTGCTGTCTTTTTTCTAAATGCGTAAATGGGAATTTAGAAACTATTTACCTCTATTTTATAAATTTTCCGGTGAAATTAGTACCACAAAAATAACGAAAGATTGAGAGAGCTATGTTTAACATACAAACATTAGTCAGCTTGTGGTGAGAGTGTAACAACAGAAGGCAAGAGTCAGGCAACAGATCATTTATTAAGGAAATCAACGCATATTTATATATTTTCATGTACATTATTATGGATATTTAAGCAAACAAACACAATCTTCCGATTGGTTGTTTCTCACGTAAAGTTAATCTTTCATCTATTTGTGACTGTTTCTTGAATGTCAAATCCTCTATATGTTAACTGCATCCGCCTACGCAAAGTCAATCTTTGTTCACATTTTCTCACGACAAATCTTGGGAACGTAAATATTGACGTAAATTACTGTCTACCAATTTGGCTAGTAGATACCTCTCATCACACTCGTCCCCCCGTCAAATAGCTTAGCGCGCAGGCGTTCCGACCTTCTGGGTGATGCGTTCTCTCGTTGATGATTGTTACAGACCGGCTTGTCCCAATGCACCCATCGTTGGATCTGACTGGCGTTAACTCGTTTTTGTTTGTCACCTCTTCTGATGGTATATACTTGACCCCGTCTTTTTGTGACTGTGTATGGTCCTTCCCACTTCGGAAGGAGTTTTCGTGAACCTGGCCCGCATCCAACAGCATATCTTCTGTCTCTACACTTCACTCGGTACCCGACTGAGAAGGTAACGCACTGAATCTTTTCTCTCAGCTGAGACTTCGCGACATCCCTCCGCTGCTTCTGCATTACATTCTTGACGGCTCCTTTCCGTTCTGCTTTTAATTTCGTCGTACTCCACTTTTGGTGAAGGGGCCAGGTTTCGTTGTGTATCGGTAATCGTGGTTTTCTACCATACATCAGTTGAAAGGGTGACTTTTTCGTTGTTTCCTGGGTGGTGGCACGATGTGTTAGTAGAATCAGTGGCAGCTCCGTTTCCCAGTAACCACCCTTCGAGGCCAGCCACTCCTTCAGCGTGCGGTTGTTTCTCTCCGTCAGGCCATTCGTTTGTGGATGGTATGGCGTCGTTCGGATTCTCTTGATGCCCAGTTGCTGCAAACGGGAAGTAAATTCTTCACTTTCGAAACAGGGACGTTGGTCTGTCAGTATTATCTTTGGTACGCCATGGTATGCAACGATGTGTCTAACTACTGCACCTGTCACGGTCCTTGCGCGTTGGTCTGGGATCGCTACGGCGTCTACCCATCGTGTCGCGTGTTCCGTCATCACCAAGAGGTACTGATTACCATTGGATGTCTGAGGAAATGGACCCAGAACATCTACGGACCACAAGTCACCTATCGCCGTAACTGGAATCGACTGAAGTGGTGGTCGTATGCACCGGTCGCCTTTCATTAGCTGGCACCGTGGACATCCAAGTACATATCTTGCTACGTCCTCTCTCATGCCTGGCCAGTACATACTTTGTCTCAAGAGGTCGGTTGTTCTGGCCACTCCGGTATGTGCTAGCTGGTGGCATTCTTCTATCATGTCGTGGCGCGACGATTGAGGTATGACAGCTAGCCAGCTTCCGTCGTCCTCTCGCCAGGTCAGAGTCCCGTAGACATTCACTCTTAGTCGATCTCTC